TTTAAACTTATGATTTAAAAACCTATATTTTACTTTTGAAATTTAGGTACCTATTGTTTAACTTAAATATAATTCAATAAAACTCTATTTGTTGGTAAATAAGAAACTTATAATATGTGGTCTACCTGTTCAGAATTTTTTTTTTTTAGGTTGCATCTGTCCAAAACTATGGAGCATTTATTAGAATACCAGGAAATAAGCAACAGGGTCTTGTACATCGCACACAGTTGTCTAGAGTCCCTGTAGATGATGCTACAGATGTTTTATCGAAAGGTGATAAAATATGGGCTAAAATTATTGGAACAGTAAGTTTATTAAATTGAATGCAAATATTTTGTTTATACATTTATAAACTATGATGTAGGATGACGGAAAGATTTCTCTTTCTATGAAACTTGTAGATCAAGGTAGTGGAAGAGATTTAGATCCCAATGGAGTACAAATGTTGTGAGTTATAATTTTATTTATAATCAAATTATGAAATAATAATAATATTTTATATTGTAATATATATTATTAATATCATATTGTTTAGTCAAGATGAACAAAGAAGAAAGATTCAACCCAATTCCAAGGGCAAAAGAACAATTCAATTAGATGCAGTTTATAACACAAAGTGTGTGAGATGTGGAACTGGTGGACATTTAGCTAARGATTGTTTTAAAGTATGACATTTATTTTCATTAACATTTCAATTAAAATGATATCATATGTTAGTTAAATATGTCATTAAAATATATTAACTGCAGGGTACATCTGGAAAAATATATGATCTTTTGCCAGAAGATGATGAGACTGAGGTACTACATAAAGCACCTATCAAATCAGAAAAGTCTGAAGAAATGAACATTTTATCAACCAATGAAAAAAACAAGAAAAAGAAAAAAAAGAAAAAATCTAGTGAATCAAAGAAAAAAAAGAAAAGAAAAAGACATTTATCAACTTCTTCCTCAAATGTAAGCAATTAATAAATTGTTGTATCATGTATGGAGTTAAGAGGATGCTACATCTGTATATATTGTCTTYTTCTTAACAATGTACAACATGTCAAAAACTGTTTTTTTACGGGTTTAAACCATTTAGGYTGTGTAGTCAAAGCTAAGCAACCAATTTTTATAACTTAAAAGAATAGAACATTTACTGTACTACATTGTTTTTATTTTTTCGATGCCATAATGAAAAAACAAATTCTAATTCAAGTTTGAAAAACTCATAATAATGAAGTTATAAACAATAAATACTTTTTTAGCATTTGCGATACCAAAAAAAWAAATAAAAACGATGTTGCACAGTATATTCTATTCTTTTTATAGTTTTGTAGTGTTTAAGTTTGGTTGCTTTGTTTAGACCAGCGGTTCCCAAACTTTTTAATTTCACGCCACCCTAAAAATTAAAAAAAATAATTGCGCCTCCCATAAAAAATTAAATTACAAATTTATAGTATTTAAATATACAAACACTTTTATTTTTATGAAAATATAAGTTAACAGTAAATATTATTAAACTTCAATTTAAAGTATTACAAAATACAATGCGTATTAATATTTAAACTTAATGCGAACAATGTGCTTGTTTTCTGTTTAATAATTCTTCAAAATTAGGTAGCA